TTTCAGTGTCTGGGATTTACATGACATTTAGGGTAGAGGTTTCAATAGCTGTCTTAGAAGGCAAATGATCATGAATGCTTGTGATTTGTGTCATTCACCTAGTTTTATGGGTTTCTATAGAAATGAGTTTCCAAATGAAGACTGACAATGGAAATATTTGGATATCCCCTTGGGGCTTGTGGGAGGGAAAAACAACCTTACCTTAGTCAAATATCAACTCCTGTGGAATAGCAAATTGGATTTCTGGGCATTAGAGTATTGCCATGAAGCAGACAATGTCGTACATACTAAGTTGTTCTTCAGAAAAGACAGGACTAGTTTTATCTAGGGAAAAGTTAGCTTGTGCTCATGATGGATGTTGCATGATGGGAACTGACCAGGAGAACAGAGTATGTCATCAATTTGGGCTGTCAAATTTTCAAACACAATCAATGCCAAGAAGAACGTCTAACATTGGTGAGGTCTGTGACTTTCTGTCACTAAATCTGGTCTGTTCCACCACGCTTTGACCCCCCAATACCAAATACCTTGATTAATTAAATTCCAGACAGTAGATCTTGATAAATAGATGGAGATTTGTCCCTTAAATCTGGCACTAAACTCAATATAGCATTATTGACACTTGGTACAAAGTGATGGATGGGGAGACGAAAACATTTCTCCTCCATTTGATGTAATACATGATTTATTGTCTAGAGATAAGTTTTATACCATTTTGAGGAGAAAGTTATGCTTTTACTTGATACAGTAATTTGTACTGATACTTTGTGTGGGTGGGGCATGTTCCCATCAAGTGTCTGACTAGAGTTCTACCCTTCACAACTGTCAGTCCCGTGTTTACAAAACACGACGTGGAATCAATTTTCAGGGACAACTGATATGAGGGTTAAATCAATTTTGAGAAACAAATCACTGTGGAAATTGACAGCGGTAGGCTAAATGTCATAAAGAGGTTATTCTGTCAAATTCATCATCCCAGCAGGAGTTGTCTCCCACTGTACAGACTGTAAGTAAGGCCCTCTAGGATACGAGGGGCGGACAAGCCTGGTGCCAATAGATTGTGGTCTCCTGTAAGCTCTACATTACACAGGCTTTACCATCAAACATAATCTATTGATAGGTATATAGATGTACTGGTGTTATCTATGTTATATAAACAACATTATACATCACCTGAAAGGAATATCAGAGAAATGATGTTGGACATTTTTTATGTCTCCAGAAAAGGATTACATTGATAATGGTAGAAAACTTTCATATTTGTAGTTTAATTTGCATTTTTTTTTCAGTTGTAACTTGTTTTATGTAGTAAATATATCCTAATTATATCTAGATATTCAAATCGTTTTTGTTAATATCAACAATTTAGCAATCACAAATTGTATTGATTTGAAATAGCATGAAATGAATCTCACTTTACCTTGTTTTACAAGATTTCACTAAATTAATAGTCCGTCATCTGTCATGTCTTTTGAAATATTTTATTTATGAATGTTAGAATTTATTTCATTTATACTTATAAATACCCCATACCAAGCGTGGGATATTTCATTTTAAAATCTCGGGTCAAGCCATCATCATGTTGTATTGTAGACACATCGGTTTCTCATAGTCATTAGGGCTAATGGATGGGAGAGGTCAACAGTGACAATATCAGGTTTTCTTGTTTAGAGAGTTTAGTGTTATTTGTGACACTTTAATACATGTAACTGTAATTAAAGTTCATAATGAGACGTGTCAGTTTCACCTTTAAAAAATCTCAACAAAATTAAAAGTGTGATATTATGACGAACATGGGTGTCTTGGATTACAGTAATAAGTGATATCAGTTGGTGTGTCTCACTAAAGTATGCTGGTATCATTCTTTACATTATATCATTAATCGCTTGTTACCAGGAAAAATTATACAAAGAATTAGTGAGATAAGATGAATTATGGATAATATGATAGCTTGTCACTTTAAAATTGTCATTTTCACTTAGGAAATCAGGCGTGTCTAAAAATGTAATAACTCAAAACACACGCAAAAAAAAAAAATTGTACACTTGAGCACAATGAGAGCTGATCATTGATAATTTGTAGTTTTATTTCTTCCTTGATAAATCACTTTATGGACAAGTATTAAAATTGTTTGCTGAAGATTACACTGGTCAGCTGTGAGAGTGTGTATGAGCAGTTTTAAAACATGTCTGTAAGAGTATTCATCCTTATTCTTGGAGATGATCAGATAATCCAAGCTTCTTTGTGAATCAGGGAGCTTTATCACAGATTTAATTCTGGGTCAATGAGGTGCTATAACTTTGGTTTTTGATGGATGAATTTTCCAGGCACACTTAATGAAGCATGTAAGATTGCTCAAAATGTCCAAACATATAATTAGCTCTCCGTTCATAGAAATTCTCCGGAGAATTCAGCTCATCAAAGAACTGCTGTGCGGTTTCTTTCTCACCATGTTGTGGACTAATTTTCGTCTTCCCATTCCTATTTCTCATCTCCTCATCACATCGATTTGTTTTTTGGACATCATTTAAACTTTCATTTCCGCAACTGAAAGCAATATGACAATACCCAAACAGAAGTTAGCTATTACAGTAACAGCGGTGTACTTTTTAAGCTTTTACAATGGCTATTTTGGAATGTTGACTTAATTTCAATTAGTCTTTCCAATGTTTTCTTCAAAACATTGTTCTTGCATAAAACAAAAATGTTGATATTTTTATTTATACAAATTGATATTATGTGAGGTCAGATTTCCGAGTTTGTAAATTTGGAAAAAAAATGATAATAGAACATTTTGTCATTAGAATTGTATTCTATAAACCAGAGAGAGGTTCACCTTTAGAAAAAAGAACAATCTATAGACTTTACCATTTTTATGCTCACAACAAGTCATTAGGTAAGGTTATACCTGGGCTCTGCCAGAAATGCTGAGACTGTTGATGACATCCTACCTTTACAAATGTCATTTGTTTTCTGGTTGACTTGATTTACATTTAATTGAATTTTGATATCTACCTGGTATATTTCACCTGTCTGTTGGTAGAATGACTTCTTTATATCTACCTGGTATATTTCACCTGTCTGTTGGTAGAATGACTTCTTTATATCTACCTGGTATATTTTACCTGTCTGTTGGTAGAATGACTTTTGATGTCTGCCCAGTGCATTTGACCTATCTGTTGGTAGAATGACTTTTGATGTCTGCCCAGTGCATTTGACCTATCTGTTGGTAGATTTGACCTATCTATGGATAGAATTGACAACATAATTAAGTTTTCAGTTTATTAAATACAGACTTATAGTTATTTTAGATTGTCTGATCCATAAAAGAAAACCTGAAACAATGTGAACAGGCCTGAGGGGAAAATATATATATATATCATTAATATGTGGAAACCATTGTCACCAAAGTGTGATGGCTAGTAGGCACAGAAGGCTTTGTTCATCAATATCTGATCTCCTGTATGTGTGGATGTGCTTTGACTTCTACAAGTGATTAGGAGAGAAAATGCAAGGGAGAAGAATCGATTCTGTATGGGGAAACATGATATTTATTGAGCTCGGACATGCATGTCATAAAAGTATAGAAATAATTGTGTTAATTTCTGTGTTGTGGAGATCCCATAAAAACATCAGTTGTGAGGGTTGGAGGCGAGGTTAGTTTAATGGTCATAGCCTGGAATCACTGACTTTAATACTCATAAGTTTTGTACAAATAGGCATTGAAAATGACATAAGGAAAATGTGATATTGTGGAAATGAACAAAGAAAAGACAACTGTGTTTTTGTATGTACTAATTATACTGGCAAGTTATCGAAGGCCAAGAAAATCATGGAAGACCTTTGTGTGATGTCATTCAAAAGATATCTATATTTTCAAGATGGCCATGAGGTCTTAGTAGACTGATGATGGGAGAAATCTACAGGCACAAATAGGAATGCCATGTGTGCTTATATCCAAAGGTCAAAAAGTTAAGTGAGATTACTAAAGGGCAAAGTTTAGTTAAAGGTCAAAGATCAAGATATGAAGTAGTTTTTACATGGCATGGCATCATCTGAAAATGCTTAGAATGTCTTCCATGGTACTCGCTATATGTAAATGAAGTTCGAAATTAAAATTTTGTTCAGTAATATATTGTCTTTAATACATATACACATCAGTCAGGTTAAAGTGATTTATATCAATCAATGTACGTATATATATCAAACAGGTCAATGTTATACATCTCACCTGTTACTAGTGACAGTATGGAGAAGTGATCTGGGGCGATGTTCCTACATAAGAAAGATTAATTGTTGGTGAAGGGAGGACAGCAGTACATAGGATAGTATATAGCTACCTAGTACTAACAGCTATTCATGCATAGAAACAGACACAAAGTGATCAGATGAATATCAACCTTGACCTCTGACCTTGATAATATGTTACAAAGGAAATATCTACCCAAGACATAATGATATCTTTAGAGTTGCTTTCATCACCAGATGTAGCTAACATCACAAACACCTACATGTTATAGTAACATGTGACAATGATCAGGCTTGCTTCCTTGATGTTTGTTGTACAGGTAAGTAGAACCTCGGTCACAAGCCTTGATATCCTACATAGGGCCAAGCCCTCCTGCCTTACAGCCTACATAGGGCCAAGCCCTCCTACCTTACAGCCTACATAGGGCCAAGCTCTCATGCCCTACAGCCTGCCTAGGGCCAAAACCACCTTCTACCAGTGAAAAGTGTGGAATTTCTCTCCTGTAATTGATAATAAAAATTGTAAGAAAATCTAAGAACAACACCATTTGGTACTCTATAGCTATCCAGGTGTTGGAGCTCCTTTTCATGTTGATGAATCTAACCTCAAGGGATGGTAAGGAAGACATTCTCATGTGGCCTGATTCAAAGTACAAGCAGGCACAAACACTCTTCAGTGTCTCAGTAAAACACTGATTATATAAACTCTTCTAAACTGTGTTCCTGAGAAAAAATTTTCTTGTATTTTTCAGATTTCGTCGATCGGATAGTTCAATACATGTCCAGCTTAACGACAACATAGACATCATATGCCCAGACTACAGTGACAGGACAGACAATCCTGAGGAATGGGAATACTACTCCATTTTCTTGGTAAGTGCTTCTAACAAAGCTGTCACGAATAAACAATACAAACGCCTTAAGTGAAAAGTAGAAGCTTCAATAGAAATTAACCTCTCCATGTTTACTAGGTGGTGAAACATAGTTATGACTTTTCAATCATGGTCTTACCATTGTCCCAACAGTCACTGGAACATACTTTGAAACTGTACAACATTTGATGGTAGTATAAAGTACGTTGATGTTTTGAAAGTGAAGAAACATTTGCGGAGATATTTGTAATTACTACCGTATGTAATAACATCAACTTCGCGTATCAAAACCAAAGTGTAATGTTTCGTACAACGTTAATTATTGCGAACACTTCAATAGATGATGCCTCAAGTTTGATGAAGATATTTTCTTGATTTTTTGCAGGTTTCAAAACATGAGTATGAAACATGTACATTACTTAATCCTAAATCACCCAATGTTACACACATAAGGAACTGTTCAACACCAGGAGTACATAGTGATCCCTTCACAATTCTGGTAATGGCGTTTCAGCCAATCCCAAATCTTCCTGACTTCAAGAAGGGCCACAAGTACTACATGATATGTAAGTAGCTTTCAGTATCAACTTTCACCTTTTTTCTGTTTTCATTCGCCTGCATTAAGTTCATATCTGGTTATAAGCTCACCCATATCTATTGCATTCTAGTAGAATTGCAGAATTTGTAAGTTAGTGGAACCGATTTCGTCAAATCACCAATCAACAAACGGCCTTTAATGTAGGTCAACATTTTCGTGATCAGAAGCTCTTCACTATATCTAGGTTAGCTCTTAAATCTTTATGGTTCATCAGAAATACATCTATCTGGTAGTCATTTTAGGAGAGAAATTTTAAGCAGCTTTAGTTTTGTTGAGGAACATACGACATTGGAAACAGTTTTAATGTATCATTGTTGAGATGTTTTATGGTTATATAGATACAGTGTTAATGGAACTGAACACCTTGTACAGATGAGACTCTTGTGGCATCTAAAAACATATGATGTTTGTAAAAGGAGGATATGTTATTTAGTAATATGTTCTTATTACAGCAACGTCAACAGGAACACAGATTGGTATAAATAACCAGGTGAATGGGTCCTGTCGGACGAGGAACATGCGCCTCATTTTAGATATGACAGATAAACCGACAACAGGTAAAGGAAATATAAATACTTTATTGTCTTTCTCTGTAACCAATTCACTTACATAAAGGGGATGTGGTGATGGCTTTGAAAATATAGTCTTAATGTAATGGAGGGATATATCGTAATAAAATCTTTATAAGTAAATCTTTATCATAAGAAAATCTTTATCATAATAAAATCTTTATTGTATGAAAATCTTTATCAAGAAAATCTTTATCATAATAAAATCTTTATCATAATAAAATCTTTATTTTAAAATCTTTATCAGAAGGAAATCTTTATTGTATGAAAATCTTTATCGTAATCTTTAATAAAATCTTTATCGTAATAAAATCTTTATCATAAGAAAATCTTTATCATAAGAAAATCTTTATTGTATGAAAATTTTTATTATATTAAAATCTTTATCTTTACAATTAAATAATTCCAGTGGTGCTGAATAATAATTTTTAGCGTTGATATAGATTTGTATTTGAAAAATAATATAAAAAATGCATTAATTTTTCTTTTCTAACAATCCTGAACTGATTCTAGGAAAGAATATAAAAACCTTGTTTTTATCAGATATATCTGTTGGTTTTCAAATGTTTGTCTCCTGGTATTAATCGTTTAGCTAACCACACCCGTGCCTTCTTATTTCTAGCATCACCATCACCACACACAACTCCAACATGGCAGACAAATCAAACATTATCTTCTACCTCCACACCGAGACCAACAACCACCACGAAGACTACCACCACTTCTACAACCACAGAAGCACCAACAACCACCACCAAAAAGCCTAGTAAGTATCTTGTTTATATCAGTGTACACTGTCCATACAGAGAAGGCAACTGACCATTTTCTGTTGTCACTCGAGTGAGGGAGCTTTGATATATATCAAAGAGACCTCACATTCCAATATTAGGATTTTGTTATTTGTCTACCAGTAAAAAGTGACAAGTAGATTTGATATAGCATCGGGTTGTTTAAGTGATATTGAATAATTTTGAAAAATGAATCAATTGTAATATTAATTTATTGTTGTCTTTCTCAGCTGTTCAAGAAATTCAATTATCAAACAGATAGAAATTGTATGTATCTTGATTGGTATGAAAACAAGAAAGCAATTACATGTTAAGAAAATCAGGACTCAAAATGAACTTAAAATCTTCAGCATGAATCTTACATTATTCTTAAAATTTTTGTTGAACTACATGAAGACTTTTTTCTCATTTACAGCAAGCAAATTTCCAGATGGGACTCCTGTGGATCCAAATATAGTGATAGAAGCCCCTGGTGGGGAGAAGAACTCGGGCATTATCAATGCAGGCGCGGGCGAAATACAAGCCAGTGTTACAGTGACTGTCCTTCTAGTGCTTGTGACGTTTATACTACTAATACGATAGTATTAGGCTACGCCAAATAAAAACATGGACAAAGCATTGATAGTGATGTCACACAGTCAATAGGTACACAGTTTTCTAAACTGTCCCCAGGATTTCATAGTGTTAACCCTTGTCTTCATCTTGAGTCACAGCCCTCACAAAGAAGGTCGCAACCTTCCAGATCACAACCTCTGTTTTCCTGCTTCGACGTCAAACTGTTGTGAAAATATTGGCTGATGAAGCTAAAGTCATGCTCGTTAATTGTGACAACAAATGTTTGTATCTGTTGGAAACAAAAACTAGGTTGTCACTGTTTCTAAATATTCCGCAATTTTGAAGAAAACTTTTTACTGCTTGGAACTCCGAATTATCTTCTCCTTGTGGAGTCGTTCTCAGTTACCTGGGGGATTTCATTGAGCAGCCCTTTTTAATTGTGGAATGATTTTGTGGTAAAAGCCATGCATGGCTGCCATCTGTGTACATATCACCATGGTTGCCATGGCGAATGAGTGTGAGCTTCATCAGGACTAGCCAATCACCATTTTCATAAGACAGAAGCCATTGTATTGTAAATGTTGTGATCTTCATTTCATCTTCAGCCTTTAAACACCAAGTTATTTCATGGAGGACTTACAAACTTTGATTCCCGAGATCATCATTGAAGTGGACTATGACCAAATAAGGAAGTGGAGTCAAGGCCATCTCGGATATTTTAGTGGCAAGGAACTAGACGTGTGTGTGTTCAGTTGTCAACACACAATGATGATAACAGAACTGTGTATCTTGTTGTCCTGCTGTGATTTTTGTTATGGTGATCTAAGACATTAACAGCAGAATTATGTTGTCTTTGCTATGAAACAGCCGAAGATAATAGTCCCAACACTCTCAACTTATAACACTTTTCCTTTCTGCTTAGATATATAAACTAGGAATTGACAAATCTATAAGCCAGAAACATTTTAACTGTAGTTGCATATTACTTTAGTGCAGGAAGCTACCATAGGGTTCAAAAGTCAAAGACATTTTGAATGAAGAAATTTTGTCTTGGCAACATGTGTTTTGTTGCTAGGGAGAAGGGGAGACAAGTCCAATACTGAACAAAACTCTGATATTTTATACAAGGTACTGTTGATTTGTCTGTGTAAACAGATGTAAAAACATGTTTTATTTATTTAATGGTCTGATCTTTGTGTATTAAAGCTGATTCAAATTTAAAATTTGACCGTGCATTCCATATTCCTCGCATAAAATTATCTGAAAGGTGTGAACATAACAGGTTACAAATTCACAAGTAAATGAAATTTCCTACTCAACACACATCGCCTGTAAATTTCAAAATCATACTCCATTGATTTTATATAATATGAAATTAACATTACAATTTAGTGTCAACTAATTAATATTCATGGTAATAATGGAAATGGCAACTTTAAATTATTTCCAATAATCATCCAATGAAAACTTATGAATATTCATGTATATAACATATACATATACATATTCTGTTTTTACAATTTTTCAGAAAAACATATCATATATTGTATGTTGTAAACTATGGGTTATTTTACTATTTGGTGGACCAGTTTAAAAATAATCATATAAATGGTGTAGTGACGAAATTGTTGAGAAATTGGGATTTATAAAAGCCAACTTTGGAGACTACCAATACTTTATCATTAAATGTAGGAAATAGTGAAATCACAAGAAGTTATTACTGTGACTTTTCAAATTGATATTAAGAATTTTTTATCAAATGATTAAAAGATCTGATTTTTTTTTTTTAAACTGTTCATAATTTTACAAATTAATGTTTTGCAGCAAAAATGTATTTTGATAGCATTATCTGATCATGCTAATTACTTGGAAGGTTCTAAGATTTCAAAAAGAAAATTGACTAATGCATTGTAGTCATATTCATTACATGTCGATCTTTGCTTGTACTGGAGAGGTTGTTTCACTTGAAAGAATGCTTAGGTGCTGTATCTGATGCTAAGGAATGGTCACACATTTGTTTGAATGTTATCCATGTTCAGGTCAAGTTCATACATGAGTGTTCACTTATTTATGAATATTCATCAAAGTAATTATCATTTAGAAAAATTCATATGTAAATGATATTCATAAAGTGAATACTCAACCAATTAATTATCATACCCGAATTCTCATACTGATTTATTATTATTCATGTGGTGAACCAAGTAATTATCATACATGAATATTCACATCAAAAATATTCATGTGATGAATATTCGTTGAAGTGATTATCACTATGTGGTTATTTATATCATTCTTCCTAAATGTTACAGATTCTTTAATCAACCTGTAGACAAAAATCTCAAATTGCTCACAGAACCATTTTGAGTTGTGTACAGATCCCTTTTCTGTAATATATGTGTGTTCTGTTGTTGTTTATGTTAAGTGAAGATAATTTTCACTCTAAAAAATCAATGTTATGGATAAATGAATATGCATAATTATATTCAATGTAGACAATAACTAAAAACATGCTGCTCTAAATAATAATCAGCTGAAGGTGTATAATTCTATTTGATCATCAGGAAGTGAGACATGAAATACCAAGAAAACTATGTAAATCTTTATTACAGCAGAAAGTTGTGCTTTGGTAAAATAATGATTCCAAATTCCATGGTCCGGAATTCTTTCTTATAAGAACGCAAACTGACTTAGAAGGTTTTAGACGTTCAAGTGTTTTTCTGAACCGTTCAAGATTGAAACATTTTTTAGTAAGGCCACAAAATCCTTCAACTTTCCAGAAAGAAATTCTTAGTTATTGTTTACATCGTATATATTAAAGAATGTAATTTTGACATGTCATGATGATAAGCAATATATACTGGCATGCAGTGTTAGACGGCACAGTGGATGTGTTTCGTTTTTTTACCATGTGACCCCTTAGAGGACACAGTGGGTATTTGGTTTTGTACCATGTGACCCCTTAGAGGACACAGTGGGTATTTGGTTTTGTACCATGTGATCCGTGTATAACTGATTATTTAAATGAAGCGTGCTGTTTTGTCTGCTAAATATCAACAAATTGTACAAAACCAAACGTTTTGTAAATATCTATGTACAGTTGTAATTATTGTGTTATTTGACTTGTAAAAACCAATGGGAAACACTGTGGACATTGAGCAGCGTGAAAGTGTGACGTGTGATCACTGTATACAATATGTACAACTATTTTTTGGCGAAGAGTTTGTTGCTTTGATATTTCATGCACAGCGTTCACTTTGTATGTGTAGAGCACATTTTTTGAAAAATGAAAGAAAAATCCAAAGTTGTCTGCTCTTGAAGGGCAGAAAACTCTAATGCAGTGATTCAGAATGTTAAATATTTATGCGGAAATGTGTTTTTTGATTATCATGCAGGGCGATCCTGCAGTGGTTGTCGCCCTTTGTGCTTGCCTTGTGAGGTGTCATGCAGATTTTTACAAGTGTGTGAATGTAAGAGTTAAGTAGAGTTAAGTCTGTGGATAGTTAAAGTGTGTCAGCGCTGAACAAGTTGGATGTGTCTGTAAATCAAGCAAGTGTGTCTGTGATAGGTGTGTGCGTTGAGGTGTGGACAAGACAACAGGTAATTTGTGTATTCATGCATTACTTTAAAAACAAAAACAAAACAATTTGCACAGTAATAAAATGTGCCAGTGAATCCTTGTTCCTTTAGTCTTTAACTGTATGTTATTATTGTTTGCTGAGGATAAATATCCGCTAGGGATGTTACATAGTTGAGAATCATCGGGGGACCAGAGTTGAATATACATAATTCACAGGGATCTGGAAATTAATACAGAGGCCTGAATGAGCAAGGTTTCACTGTGTGATTTTAATGTTTTATAACAAATGAACAATTCTGTTCTCATCCTAATAGTAAATTTTTAAACTTTGAAATAACATTAGTAACAAGGTCAAATGGATGTTATGCTGGTTTTTGATACATTTCTTGGTGTAAGCCTTATGAATGTATTAAATACTGTATAATAAATCACTAATCGTGAGCCCTTGTCGGGTGACATAGAGACAAAATGATCAGATTATTCAATACATGTCACTGAAAACAACTCTTTAATTCCAGGAATGTAATTTGAAGCCCTTAATGAAAGGAAATTGTACAATCATCGGAATATTTAGATTATATATGTTCATTGGAATACTTTAATTTTGAAGATTATTTTGTAAAATATTGAGACACAAATGAATGATGTGTGTGATGAATTGTTTGAAAGGTATTCTGAAGGAGAGAAATAAAAATTAACAAACATGAAATACCTTTTATTTTTTATTACAATTCGATTTGATCTTACGATCTGTTGTGTTGAAATAGAGAGATTAATTAGGGTTTCAAAAACATTAGTGAATGAAAACATTTAAATACACACCTCTCCCCGCCCCCCCCCCCCCACCCCCCCCCCCCCCACCCCCACCCACCCCCACCCACCCCCACCCCACCCCCCACACCCACCCCCCCCTTTTTTTTTAATTAATGATTTAAGGATATATTTCATCCACAAAACACTAATTCATTATTTGAATTTCTTTAATGGTTAACATCTGCAATAATGGTCCCTTTAATGGTGTTGGTGAGTTTGTAAACCTGTCAGTCATAAGGAGTCTAATTACAGGAGTTATCACAACTTTAATGAGTATACTATAAAATTGTTTCCAGACCCCACACATCTTGTTTAACATTGACCTTGTTCATTAAGGATTAAATGTATTATCTGGAACATCAATACAATCTTTTTACATTAACAAGAACAGAAGTTTCCGGAAATGTGGAAAGAGGATGTCTTGTCGATGACTGTGTCAAATGGTGACAAGGTCACCCTGGAAGCACCTTAGTGCTGCCCTACAGAAATAGGACCTGGTTATCACTGACAGAGTTTACATACAAATATTGCATCCTTAAAAATGAGCCACGTTCTCGTCTGATATTCTGATGATATTGTCGGTAGTGGTGGTATCAGTAATTGTCAACCTCCCATCTTGGATTCAGTGGTTCTAAAGGAATAAAAATGTTACATCATTGATATTCAACGGAAAATGCTAAACAAGGAGATGAAATTTCAGGAGGGAACAAATGTGATCGTTTCTTACCTGGATTTTTGTTTTAACAGCCTAACAATAGACTTCACGAAACCATAGTAATACAGGCATCAAAATACTGAAGCTGGTTTATCTCTAAACTACATCAGTAATGACGTATAGAATACATTGAAATTTGAAAAAAAAAATCAGAATGAAAAAAAAGCAGGACAGATATGTTCTGAACAGCCTTCTTTATCACCCCAAAAATATTGTTTGATTTAATGTAAAAATCATTGAATTTCTGTTGGATTGTTGCATCACAAAACAACATATATTGGTTGTTACTTAACAAAACACTAGATATGGGTTATAACTTATAAACACTGGGTATGGGCTGTTACTTAACAAGACACTTGATATGGGTTGTTACTTAACAAAACACTGGATATAGGTTGTTACTTAACAAAACACTGGATATGGGTTATAACTTATAAACACTGGGTATGGGCTGTTACTTAACAAGACACTGGATATGGGCTGTTACTTGACAAAACACTTGATATTGGCTGTTACTTAACAAAACACTGGATATAGGTTGTTACTTAACCAAACACTGGATATGGGTTGTAACTTATGAACACTGGATATGGTTTGTTACTTAACTAAACACTGGATATGGGCTGTTA